TCCTGCAGAAATCCCTAGCTATGACATTGTTTTCAGGTGTTGTAGTTTTGGAAAGAGATTTCATGTCTCAGAAACAAAAGGGCAATATGGGTAGGGAAGATGAAGAGACTCCAGGAATATTATATAAAGGTCAATAATGACTCTGCCTGTGGCAACATCAACTCAGCGCTCTAGAAGTTAACTGTGACGCTCGGTGTTTGAATTTCAAAACCAATAACAAAAGGAAGGTATTGTTATTACACCAACCTGGTAAGCCTGTTGTGAGCATTTAGTGCCTGAAATCTTCAGGACCCTGCCTGGCTTATACTTAGCTCATATTACCATCATGAAGATCCAGAGTTTAAACTGACATATTATGCAAAAGTCTTTTAAATCTATTATAATTACCGATTATCCAGTTAGCCCAACAGAGAAGTATCTCCCTAATGGGAAAAAAAAAAGGCATTTAAAGCCATTCAGTCCCTAAATTCCCTATTCCCTGTCGGCTACCACCTACCACTGATGCGAGATCAGGAGCCCTTCCTCTTTAATCCCATGGTACATGTCTATGCGACCATTCTACCAGGATGTTTGTGCTGTTGGTGTACCGACTTCCCCACCAAGGCGTCTGCGAACTCCTTAGAGACAGCCTCTATGTCTTGTGCACCTCAGCACCTCCCGACACCTGTTCCCACACATAACAGAAGCTCAATAAAGGTGTGTTAAATTAACAAATGTGATACCGTAAGAAATGGATATATATGCATATATTTGTATGTGTGAAAAACACCATCCAGTTCAGGGTCTGTGTTCTGCGGACTGCAGTGCCCTTGCTCTCTGATGTTTCAGGAAGGTAGGCAGCCAAGGCACCTCAGCTAGGACCAAGAAAGAAAAAAGCAATCATTCAAGAAACCCGTAAGGGGCGCTCTGTGAGCTTCAGGCAACAGACTAGGCTCTAGGGTTATAAAGTCCACATTTCCATCTGTAAAGAGCTCCCAGCCCCATGGGCACCTAGCAGCTGAGGATCTCACCCCCCACTAGGGAGCAGAGATGTTAAAGTTAAAACCAGATTAAACCAATTCAACTCCCAGTTCTACACTGCAGTGCTCTTTCCACTAGAACAATGCCTTTCAAATGTTGAGAGGGCTCACAGTAAAAAACCCATTCTGTAGCACTCCCTACTAGATACACACACGAATGATCTTTTCATCTTCACTCTATTCTATTTCACTTTTTTTTTTAAATGTTCAACCAGACACTAAATGGCTTATGACTCAAAAGTGGAAAAATACTGCTCTAGGAGATATATTTTTAAAACTTTCTCTAGAATTTCAACATCAGATATAATTCCTAATAGTTTTTCTCATGCAATGAATTTGTACCACAACAAAAATAAATAAATAAGACGCTATCAGAGACTCAAATAACCGACAAAGACTAACAGAGTCATGACGGCTGCCACTTGGGGAATGGGAGGAAGCTAAACCTATCTCTGTCACCTTTCCCTAAAGCCATCAATCCAAGGGAGAGAGCATTTGCTAGGCAAAAACAACCTAGTGGCAAGCCTCCTGACACCCCAGCTCCTTTCCAGCCAGACTATGGCCCAAAAAACTCTTATCCTATATAGAAATTCTGGAGCTTCCACTTACAATGAATTTTTTTTTAATGATTCTGTGTAAGAGACTTTAATGAAATGTGTTTGGATGAGGAACAATGAATTTATTAAGATAAGTGAATGAAAATCAAAATAAACTATTTGAAACACATTTTACTTAAAAAAAAAAAAAAAAAAAAAAAAACTCTCTCTGAAATTTGCCAGTCCTCACTTCAGTTGAGGGGAGAAAAGTGTAATGATTTATCCCAGATCTGAATAAAACATGCAGAAATGGATCATTAATTACGTTATATGTCTTTTGGTTCGCTCTCTGAAATATTAGGGCAAAGGCAGTACACAAATTTTCCTCAACATGAGATGTTTGTACAACACTTGCCATGAAAGGAAATGTGGCAGCAGCAATCACCATTACCTAGTAGCAAGCTAGAGATGAAAACCCCAATGTCACCAGAATTCTTTCAAAAATTGTGTTCCCCTGGAAAGTCACAAACAGGCAGCAAGACCAGAAAAGCCCTTTCTCCATGTTCTAGGTCCACAGGCAGTACTCCAGCTCTGAAAACACCAAGTATAAGAATATTCATTCAAGGTCTTGGGCTGACTAGCCTCACCATTCGCCATCCAAGAAGCAAGTCTGAGTTTATAGGTCTCATTTTTGTGACATTTTATAAAAGACAATTTTTTTAAAAAGCGTTAATAAACCTTCCTGTCTTCCCAAGAGAAACGTGCTTAGAAAAATATCCTTTTTATAAAGATAAAGTCCATTTTCCGAAGAAAAAGGAGAAAGGCATACTATTTGTTAGACTTGCCCAATAGAACTTTCTGTGGCAATGCAAGCGTTTTGTGTCTGTGCTCTCCAGTACAATAGCCACTAGCCACCCAGGACCGAGCACTTGAAAGGTGGCTGGTGCAACTGAGAAAGTGTATTTTCAATTTTATTTCATTTTAATTAATTAAAATTTAAACAACAGCATTTGGCTAAGTACCTACCAGATGGGATAACATAGATTAGAGAATCAATGTAAGCAGCAGAGCTGGCTAGCTGACTTGTCTCAGACTGAATATCACAATTTGAAAAAATGATATTCAATATCAATATTCAATTTTCAGCTTCCCTATTAACATTTAATTAATTAAGTTTTCCTCAGAAGTGGTTTTTCAACAGTTCGGCAATTTTTATTCCAAAACATGAACATCCCAGATCTGCTGAGCACAATTCCTCTGGCAATGTTCAATTTTCCATCTGTGAAACTTAAGCAGAGGGGAAGGGAAAAAACTGAAACCCACCTTCCTCTTGATACAAAGGGAAGAAATGGAACACATAATCCAGACCAAATGCTAATTTAACCTTCTAGGCTCTCTCATGGATACATCTGCTCATCAGCCCCTGCTTGTGTTGCTTCTTTAACCCAGCTGTGGCTTTCCACAAAAGTCTTTCCTACATTTGTTTGACCTCTTGATTGCGTTCCCTTGTGATCAGGCCATGACCATGACCACCACCTATAGGAAAACCAATTAAAATATAAACACTAAAATATTCTCTATTTAAGTGGTCAGAATGCAGTAGCCTGAAGGGAACAGATGCTTCAGAAAGACTAAAATATGCAGATCATGCCAAGACCACTTTCCAAGCAGGTGGCAAAAGAAAACTGCGCAGTTCCATAGTCAGCGAGGGAAAGACAACGCAAGAAAATATGCTCAGAAATGCGTTGCGGCCATGCTGTGGCCAAAGAATAACTAACTTCAAGCAGCATCACTGCACTCAGTATAGTCTCAAGGTCAATGCTGAATGTTGTTCAGCTTTTCATCATGCTACAGTCTATACACAAATAAACCACGCACACGAGCACAAGCGTTTCACTATTTCATTGTTTTTAAGTAGAATGAACTTCTAGAACTTTATCTAAAAATACTGTGAGTTGATTTAAAACCAGCAAAGGAGTAGGTTACATGCAGAGCAAAATCACTAGTACCACATACCGTATTTGGTGATGCTTAAACTATACAGAGCAAAGCAATTCTAAGATAGCAGTGTAACTCAGGTAAGATTTCAGCATCATAGCTGAGACTTCATTTTTTTCCTCTACCACTACCACTACCACCACAAGGTCTTTAAAAAGAACTTAGAAGCTCACCTACTCTATCCAAAGAGTATCAGGGTCTCAATGAGACCCAGAGCAATGCATACACTAGCCTGGGAGCTTTGGGTCTTGCAGAATAACAAACAGCTTTGCCAAAAGGAAAAAATGCTCCATTTAGGGCAAATGAGAGCACTCTGACCTAGCAAGAGTCTGTTAGACTCCATAAAACCTAAGCATTGTCAGTCCTTTTCTTCTGAGCATGGATAAAATCTACAGATGCAGCCTGGGCAGGAAAGGAGGAGACAGAATTTAAAATGGGAACTGCCATGCTGTTTGACCCTGAGGAGTAGCCTCGTACCCTCCTCACTCTTTCAAGCTATGTACTACAGACTCCACTGACCGCAGCATCTGCGGCATGGTCTCTAAGGAAGCTATCAATTATAAAATTCTATGATAAAAGCCTCAATGTCTAAGACAAGTGCTAGAAACCTCAATGCTTTTTTTTTCTCATCATCTTAATTCTTAGGGGAAAAAAGTCAAATAAATGTAATAAACAACACAGAATTTTCACAGCAGAGGCCCAAGTTCTCAAAGCACAGAAGGCTTATAAACAGAAAATAAAAATAAACACTACTTCTCATTTAGTTCTTTAAAAGTCCGCTTCAGAATAGCATTACTCCTGTGCCCCAAAATGCAATTTAAAGGCAGAAATATAAATCTACTTAAAGACACCCAAAATATAAATTAACATAGATAAAACTTAATTCTTATATTTAAGTCTCATACAAATTTATGAGATTAAAATATAGATTCCAGTAAACAAAAGAAACATACGTAAGAGAAAAGAAAGCCATGTTTTGCTTGACTTAAGGTGTTAACACAGTACAATACGACATTAAATGAAAAAACTTACTAAACTATCTCAGTACAAATATGGCTCAGTCCTTCTTCTAAATTCCTACTATATTTATGGGCTAAATATGTTATTTCATTTTACAAGCCCTCAAGTCCTATATAACCCACTCCTATTTCTCTAGGTGAGTTTTGGCAAATGGGTTTTGATAAATGTCAAGCACATTAAAAACATATTATTTAACAGATTTATCAGTATATAACTATGAAATTACGCATCTGAAAATATCATCCTTCCTAAATTGGGATTCTGAAAAAAACTCAACAGAACTGTTTTCTATTTTTTTTTTTACAAGCCAAAGCAGCAAAGCATCTTTCAACCCAAAGTGTAATATATATTTAATCATGGCTCCTGACTTAAGCATAACATTACAAATTGTTTCATACGCATTAAACAAAAGTGCTCACGCTCTTACCTGTATATCCAGCATACCATCCCCAAGAAGCCACCATTCCTAAAAGCCATTTATACATGATTCCTTCAATATACCAGAACCGCTTACTGTCCAGCAGTCGAAGGGGCTGAAGTATAATTACATAGCAGATGTAGGATAAAATAGCAACCAGGTTGTTGGCGACCATGAAGGCAAACCTCATCAGGGCTTTCACCAAGATCCAGCCCAGCCACGGAGCTTCTTCCAAAGTCACAGCCATGCTCACATTGGCGTCCGTCCTGTCTTTCTGAGGTGAAAGAAACATTCATTTAAAAAGGAATATGGATTATACACATCCAAACAGTCACCAACACAGAAATCCGCCTCCAGCACAAAAACACCAGGAAAGCCAAGGATCTAAGCTTTCCCGGTGTAGTACCTCGGTGATCTCTCCGGGAAATTCCAGAGGGGGACAGAGAGCGAGGAGGAGGAGCCGCACAAGGTCAAGGGAGCTGTTCGCAGAGGCACAGGGTATGTCATAATATATTTAGCAAATGATAATACTATTCCCACTAACTAATCAGCGGCTGTCCCCGCACCGCGCCTCACTGCAGTCTGCTGTGGGCACTTTCAGGAAGAAAAACAGACCCACTTGCTTCAGACAGCCTCAGTCTCCCCAAACTGACGACACGAGTGACAGAAGGCTGTTGCAGGGACCCGATCCCCTCTCCCAGCTATGAGAACCGGGGTACCCGCACCACCCCCATTCCTGGACATCGGTCGTGCCTTAGAAAGCTCTCTCGCATTAGCAGAGTTATGCCAACAGTGTTCGTTTGCGGCAAAGGGGTTTTTGCCCACCCCCCTCTTTTTTTAGGGGAAAAAGGAGAGGGGCCTAAAAAAGAGGGCAGAAAGGTGAGAGGAAGAAAGTAGGGGCTCACCCGGCGAAAAGAGGAAGGACGGGAGTAGGGGGAGGGGAGCAAAAGCCAGAAGGAGGTGAAGGCACCGGGTCCACGGATGAGGAGAATGAAGTCCCCGAGCAGAGGGCAGACGAGCGAGGGGTGAAGGAAGAAGCGCGAAGGAAGAGGCGACGGCAGTGCTCGGGGGGGATGGGGGGGACGAGGGGCGCCCGCAGCGGTTTCCGCCGCCCCGGGAAGGGGTCGCGGCGGCGGGGGCGGCCCGCGCGCCGGGCTCACCTCGGCGGGTCCGCGGGGCCCGCCGCGCAGCACCGCGCCCCGGGCCGCCAGCCCCCGGCCCCGCTAGCCCCTGCGCTCCACCGCCCGCCGTCCGCACCCGCCGAGGTGAGCCCGGCGCGCGGGCCGCCCCCGCCGCCGCGACCCCTTCCCGGGGCGGCGGAAACCGCTGCGGGCGCCCCTCGTCCCCCCCC